ATCTGGCTGGGATGATCCCATGCCACTTGAGTTAAAGGAGCAGTGGTGCCGATGGCTACAAGATCTACCGCTGATCCAGAACCTTGCCATTCCTCGTTGCCTAAAACCTAAGGGTTTCGAAACAGCATCTGCAGAAATACACCATTTTGCGGATGCTTCGGAAAAGGGCTACGGAGCTGTGTCATACCTCAGGATCGTTGGGAACAATGGAATTTCCCATTGTTCATTCCTCATGYCAAAGTCTCGGCTGGCCCCACTTAAACCTACCACCATTCCTCGATTGGAATTGGCGGCGGCGGTTGAAGCAGTGAAACTTGACAAGTTACTGCGAAAAGAACTCCAAGTACCCCTTCAGGAATCGGTCTACTGGTCGGACAGTATGATAGTCCTATGGTACCTGCAACAGGAAGACAAGCGCTATCAAACTTACGTTGCTAACAGAGTTGCTGCCATACAAGAGCACACGACCCCAAGTCAGTGGAGGTACGTTGATTCAGACTCAAACCCGGCCGATSACGCCTCCCGCGGTATGATAGCGGCAGAAGTGGTAAGCACCTCCAGATGGATCCTTGGTCCACCTTTCCTATGGAAAGAAAAGACGGAATGGTCGACACAACCAGAATTTAAATGCTCAATGCTGGAAGATGCAGTTGAAGTCAAACCAGACCGCAAGGTTTACACTGTTGCTACCGGTGACGCAGACCCCATTGATTTACTCATACAGCGACACTCGYCATGGGATAGGCTTCTGAAGTCGATTGCTTGGCTCCTTCGGTTCAAGCAATTCATGAAAGCCAGAAAACCGATGCCTGGCAAGTTGACAGTGAGCGAAAGCAAGATCGCTGCTACAGCTATCATTGTCCACGTACAGAGCCAAATTTTCGGAAGGAGCAAGGATAACTCATTGCAGAAGCTGTCGCCGTTTCGCAGCGAAGACGGAACGTGGCGAGTAGGAGGAAGACTCAACAAAGCTGATCTGCACTTCCAGACGAAAYACCCTTTGATATTACCTGCTAATCATCATGTCACTAATCTTGTGATTCTGCATCACCATGCCATGACTGGCCATGCTGGCATCGAACGTGTTCTCGCCGAAACAAGACGAAAGTTTTGGATCGTGAAGGGCAGAGCAACGGTAAGAAGAGTGCTATCCAAATGCATCACATGCAAGAAAATGAGAGCACAGCCAGTGTCTCAGTACATGGGAGACCTGCCAAAGGACCGCATAACACCTAACGAAGCACCCTTTACACGTGTAGGAGTGGACTATTTCGGGCCGTTTCTCGTGAAACGAGCTAGGAGCGAGGTCAAGAGGTACGGTTGCATCTTCACCTGCCTCACCACAAGAGCCATCCACATCGAAGTTAGTCACACTCTTGACACTGATTCTTTCATAAATGCACTTCAGCGATTCATCGCTCGCCGTGGCGAACCTGTTGAAATCCGCTCAGATAATGGAACCAATTTCACCGGTGCTCAACTAGAACTGCGACGAGCCCTTGAAMAGTGGAACCAAGCTCAAATCCACAACTTTCTCCGCAAGAGGGAGATACAGTGGATCTACAACCCACCAGGTGCTTCCCATATGGGAGGTGCCTGGGAGAGGCAAATACGTACCGTGCGTTCAGTCCTGAGAGGTCTACTTCCTCTACAGATCTTAGATGATGAGGGACTATCAACTTTGATGTGCCTCGTGGAAGGTATTGTAAACGGACGACCCATAACCAGGATCTCGGATGATCCGAAAGATCTCACGCCTCTGACGCCAAACCATCTTCTCTTGCTTCGTTCGGGCCCAACCCTTCCATCAGGAATGTTCGTTAAACAAGATCTCTACAGGAGACGCTGGCGTCAGGTTCAATACAWGGCTGACGTTTTCTGGAAACGCTGGCTGAGCGAATATCTGCCAACACTTCAAGTGCGCCAGAAGTGGCTACGCCCAAAGCGTAACCTTAAAGTTGGAGATCTGGTGCTAGTAAAGCACGACAACACGGCACGTCTACGTTGGCCTCTTGGGCTCATCGTCGACACCTATCCGGGATCAGATGGTCTTGTGCGATCTGTTCAAGTGAAGACCCAATCTGGAGTGTACAATCGTCCCGTCGACAAGATTTGTCTACTTGAGGGGGATCTGCAGCAGTCTGACGAATGAACACTCATGAACACTTGAAGATACCCACGGTTCAGCCCTTGGTTTGTCTGAATGCATTGCAGTATCAACGCATTGGGGGCGGGATGTAATGGCTGAACATTTGTTTGATTAAGTACTGTTTGTTGTTACGTATAAAAATCACACACCGTTTAATTTTCTCCGGGGACTTCCGGTCAGCGGTAGTTGCGGGCTCAAAGACGTAGGTCAGATATATATTTTTGGAGAGAARATCGAGACCATGTGCGAATTGAGTATTTCTACAGTTATATTTCCATTTATACTTTGATTTCTACTTATCCCAAGGCCCAGCAATGTAAGTTAGGTTTTCGTAGACATTTATTTGGTATTTATTTGTAATTTCGGGTCTCATTTTATGTATCTATTGTAGTTTTATAACCTTTATTTTCCACATTATTTTATAGTTTTCGAACCGTGATACTAACGTGATAAAAATGATATACCATCTGTACTGCGAGGATATCTGCTGTATTAAAAAATCACACGAGTTCAAAAGGCTGGGAGAATGATTTGTTTATCCTGGTTATACCCCTAGCGCCTAATAGTGCGTTATACTTAATATTGTTCTTTCTTACAGCAATTTCAAAATACGACTTACAGTTGACAGAGGGCAGCTCCGTTGCATTTGTATTGTGCGTCCCCACTGTAACAGGCCGTCTTTTGCCAGTGAAGAGGGATGTTGGTGAGTTATATTTGGACAAATATTTGCTTATTCCAACCCGTAACTTATGGAAATGCTATGGAAATATATTTTTTATACCAAAGTGTAAGTCAGTACGTTTCAAGTGTCATGTAATTGCAGTCGTTTAGTGATCTATTATTATTCTTTGATAGGAATAAATTCTGTTGACGGTGTGGTTGCCTCCGTAACCAATTCAACTGTACTGGTTGAACAATATAGGACATATAAGTAAGTCTTCGTTTGAAATTAGGATATGAAAGTAGTCATTCTAACCAGAGCGATAATGCGTTTAAGGCGTTATATATATGGTGYTTTTATTACTTAGAAAGGGGTAGAAAGGATTTCCCTTATAGGTTGGTGGAGTAAAGAGGGGGGGGGGGATTACGGGCAACATGCGATTCATCCTGCTTTTACGTATTGCAATCTAGATCTTTCCCTCGGGTTCAGAGGCTATTTGTTCGTTCTGACGTTTGATGTTCTGAAGGAAAATCGCTCGTTACAACCCAGCACAAAAAGCGATTCCATAGAAGTTCTGGAGTCGAGAGTATCTAGATCTGGGTTTGTATATCAAATTTTTCGCTTCGCATTTAGAAAGGAGTAACRTGACAGGGAACTTGTCAAGGCAGAGCAAGACTTAGAAGCCATGAAAAATAGTAATGTGGATGGAAAGCAAGTAAGTTTCAGTATAGCTGTATAGCTTTGCCTAAAAAATGTAAAAGATAAGCATTTGTTCGCCACAAACTGTGGACATACCGCCAGCAGGAGTTATTTTAGCRACAAAACCGTTAATTTAAATAAGGATGTTTGTATTTTCAGGTCGATACTACAAACACATGTTCGCCACAAACTGTGGACATACCGCCAGCAGGAGTTATTTTAGCGACAAAAGCGTTAATTTAAATAAGGATGGGTTAATTAAGTACAAAATATAACTTTTTTTATGCATATAGGCGTCCAGGGAACAATCAACAAAAGAAAATGATCGCCCAGAAAAAGTAAGAAACAGCGCTACAGAAGCCGGAAACCAGTCAAATCCCTCAGATGAAAGCAAGTAAGTAATAAGTAGAAAAGATGACATATGACGTTTAAAACTCTTTTAAACCATTTTTCAAATGATATGAATTTAATTATCTATATATAGCCCAGAAAAAGTAAGAAACAGCGCCCTTAATTATGATAATCATTAAATCTGTTGCAAAGACCCCTCGCACGGATTCCCCAAAGAATTGTTAAGGAGGACGTGACAACAATATTTTTTCCATAACAAAACAGCTTACTGTTCTGTACCTTAGAACAGTTCCTCATGAGAATCCATCCAAGGGATTCAYATTCCAGGCTTCGCAGAGTTTTATGTCTATAGAGGGCATCGTCAAAAAATATAATTTCGAAGTGGGAAAATTTTTAATTTGTTTTCATAATCAGTATCATTTTGTAAAGTTAGCAAGATTGGATTAGGGGTGGGAGCGGACGAGATGTTATGTTACATCATACATTCCCAAATACTCAGATTATCCGGGGTGATGTTTCTGTTAGATAAGAGCAGCGCGGGAGSAAAGGCTTCTGTCTGAAGCTGACGAAGCAACCAGTATTAAAGTTAGAGTTGCCACTCCTTGTAGTCAAAAAACAATGTTCTTCTCTCCGGATGGTAGCAATCAGGTAGGTCGTGAAATACTTAAAAAATGTACAACTTTTTAAATACTTCACTTATCAATTAACGGAGAATATAGGCCATCAGCGTAAAGGAAAACCAAACAACCAACCAGCAAACAAACCACCAAACCAACCAGCAAACAACTTTTGTGATTTACGTTCGCACATATAGATATGATTCTTGACATAGCATAGTTTTATTTAAAATTATCATTAGAGTGCATTCCATTAATCCAGGAAACAAAACTAAATTTGTTTAGACCTCTTTAGGTTTGGCTTAATGCTTACCCATTTCAAAAGTAAAGCGTATTACGGTACTATTTGGTCTCAAATATGGATGCTATCGCTGGAGCAGGACAAACAACAAAAGTCTTGAAGAAATATAAAASACGCTCCGTTCTTTTCCTTTCACTTCTCTCGTGTTTTGCAAATCCCCAAAGTGCTTCATAACTTCACACAACACAGCAAGCAGGTTTTTTATTTATTTTATAAAATACAATTTGCAATTATTTTATACAATTTATTTTTGGATCAGGCGATTAATAAGAATACTTATTTCGTTGCAGAAAGAAGTACAAGAAAAGAGGCCGAAGTATATAATTTGAAGACAGAAATGAAAACCTTGAGAAGAGCAATGAAAGAAAAGGTATATTCAAATTTAGGTTGGTAAACGGTTTCAGTTTAGCTGACTTGCAGCAGTGAAAAAGGTCAGGTGCTATTCTTTTTCTTACAACAATTTTTTTTCTAAATAGAACGAGCAAGTAGAACAGCAAATATCAGAAAAACAGCTGCAACCACAGCATGAGAATGATTTGGTGAGTAGAATTTCCTGTAACCACAGATGCATGTTTCATACGAATATTTTTTCCTGTGCCATATATTTACTGTTATATTTTTATTTATAGGACAAAATGGTGAAGATGATACAGCACACTTTTTACGTTAGAGGAATTAAGAGTGTCTTCACTAAAGGGAATCTGTTGAGAACATTTATATACTTTAAACATTTATATTATCTTACGTTACTGTTTATGATTTAACTTGACATGAAACTCGATCTAGCTTGAAATTGATATCGAACACTATTACGTAAAACGAATGRCATTTGATTCTGATCTTATATGTGATTATACTCGATACGCTATTCTAATCGAMTTCTTTGAAATACCGAGCTTTATTGTGATTCTACACTGTSATTCGCCCACTAGATGTAAGTACAATTATAGATAGATACTCGTGATACACGTTTATGTAATTTCTCGTATGATTTAGCCTAATTTAGACACATTATTGATTATATTTTAGCGAACCTTCTACTTGGTTTAGTAAGTGATTGAGACTGATATTAAACCCAACGAGTAAAGCAAGAGTATTGATCGTGGCGTACCTTGATATACCGATATCCCAAACAGAATCAGTGGTTTAAATGGCCAAAGCTCCGGACTTGACCATCAAAAAATTAATCTGATATATAGTAAGTACCTCTATATTAATGAAGGAAATGAAGGAAATCAATATCAGACATCCCAGCCACTTTTTAGACAAATTTGATAGGAAATATAGGCTGTGCAAGTTCTAAATATAGGAAAATATAGGATTTTTCCCCAAAATTATATGCACTTTATAGTACCCAAGATAGCTTTTCGGTGGCGTAACCAGGGATCGGCCATAAAAAAAATACAGAACAAAAAAAAAAGGGGGGGGGGGCCATTTTATTTCTTTCGCCAAATATGCTAAACAGTGTAAAATATAAATGTATCAATCAGCAGTCGTCCTATTTATAGGAAATATAGGTTTTCTTTAAATATAGGCTCTTTGTAGGATGCTATASAAATTATAGGAAATATAGGATATATAGGAGGTCTGGGATGCCTGCAATATAAAACGTTGTCTGCCCAATCAATTTCATGGGGTTTCAAAACTTACTAATTATGCAATATTATGTGTTTTCCTAAGCCACAATGGAGAATGTACAACAGTTCAAGGACAGATGTGCATAAATAGATTCGTGGGCAACAAAAAAAGATAAAAGAAAACCATAAAAAAATAGTGATAATAATTGTTAAAAAATATTACAGCTGGAAAAAATCTTGAAAGACAAGATATACTTTATTTTTTGATATTTTCAAATAGGAGGATTCATAGTGTATCATTATTTATAATTATTGTATGTATTATGGGTATAAYACAGTTTAAAGTTTTTCCTCAAGATGTTACTAATATTCTACAAACTTGTATTCTTATTTTCATTCTTGTATGAAATTTTCCATATMAATTTTCTGGTTCCATGTTCTTCTCTATTAATCGATATTCACAAAAACACCTAGCTAGTCCCAAATATCCCTAGAAATTTTCATGAATTTTCAAAAACACCTACAAATTCCAAAGAAATTCAAGCTAGGACCATGAACTATATTATTCCTAAAAATCCCAAAGAATTCCTGGGAATTTTTTGGTTTATTTTTCTTTCGAATTTCGATTAAGAATTCCTAGGAATTCCTAGGAATTCTTGTTCGAATTACCGTGAAAATTCGCACCTTAATTCCTAGGAATTCTTAGGAATTCCTAAGAATTTCCAACTTCATTTCGCAGGGGATATTTTCTTATTATAAATGGGTTCTTAATTTTTGGTAAGTTAAAAAGGACTTGTATACGTAGGTGTACACCTACTTGTAAGAACGTTGTCATACAAAAATAGAACATTAGTGATTTAGTGGGAGACGAATTATATTAAAAAACAAAAGAAGATCACTGAAGCTGAACTTTTTTATTTGTCATAGACGGCGTCTGTTTGGACGATTGCTTCTTGACTGACTTGACTGTGCAAACGAAGACRCCATGAATACATTGCAAGAGATTTTGCCTCCAAGATTTGGTGGTGTGTGAAGGGACAAACCAACTCCTAACGTTTATTTCTTCACGGCTGAAACAGGCAAGGAAAAGAAAACAAAAAGAGAGCAAGCGGAGCCCTATTTACCAGAGCCTCTGGTGGACAAGAAACAAAGGTTCGACAAGGAGACGGATTCAGTAATAACGACAGTAAAAGTGGATGCCGCTTTGTAGACTCAGAAAACGAAAGATAGTCCCGTCGCTAAAGGCAGAGTGAGTAAGACAAATTCTTAGTATTTAAGCTTACTATTCTTTCATTGTCAGAAACCACACGTCTTCAATTGCGATTATACCTTACATATCCTCTTGTCAATACTTCGTATTTTTTCTTTAACTTTCGGCTTTGTATAGTTGCTAGAATTGAAATAATTACGCAGCCTCTAAAGTTAGTAATCATTATTTAGGAAGCCTACTTCTTTGTGTTATACGATAGGGTCCCTTTCTACTAAAAGGTGTGTGATACACGTTGGAATATGCCTTTTTTATAAAATGTACCAGCTGATTATTATTGATTGTTGCAGTCAAAAAGTTGCTATGCACATGGATATAATTTTGAAATACGTTATCCACGTTGTCCTTTTTAACTTGGAGATTATGTATATGGTACACTGCAAAGAAGAATTTCAGAATTCGTTAAAGGAATAATTTAATAAGACAACACCTGTAAAGCAGAATCCTTAGAGATAAAACACTGAAATGGTTTTCAAAGGGAAAAAATTGGATCATTGTTTTCAGTACTATTTCTAAATTCCCATACCTTAAATTCCTTCTGAAAACTTTTTTTTGTCGTTGATCAAAACTCTCTCTTTTGCATTATGTTGGGAATACTTTCTTTCCATGTATTTATTTTACAACAGAGTGACTTCTCCACTGTTAGATGTACTGCAAGAGATGGAAGAAGACTTCCAAGACACTCGAATGACAAGTGTGAAAGTATTCTCGATAACAAGGATTTGAAAGAAGGAAGAAGTTTAATAAATCAGTGCTTATCAGAAAAGCACCTGACAGATGAAAAGGATGAAGTCATGGGAATGTATGATATAGGAGACGATAGTAATGATATTGTTAGCAATAATCGTGATGATAGTGTTAGGAATGATAGTGATGAATAATTAGCAATTATTGGATGAGGCTGAGTATGATGTGAAAAAGTATGCATCAAGAGGAGCTTTTCTAATTAAGCTTTAGAGCCAGTAAAATAACACTCTCTGAGCTATGCGTAACTTTTCATATAAGCCCGATAATTGTTTTATTATTTTTCAAAATATTTGCAAAGTTATTCAGTCACCTTTATTTCACCTCTATATCAAAGTTCTTCACTAAAGTTATTGGCTATTTTGATGTAAATTGATGTGGTCGATCACTGAATAGTTTGTTTACTTTTTCAACAGTATGACATCATACATTTAGAAAAGTAAAATTTTTTCGGACAAATGTTTTTTCCTTGCTATAAAAAAGAACACTGCTGTGTTTTGAGACCACATACTCTATTATTTTTTAGCCTCATTTWTATGTCAGCTATCCACAGAGACCATTAAAAGGACTTGAGATTTCTAAACACTGGTACAAATCAAGTTGCACATTCTTTACACTATCCCTGACTTCCTCGTAAATGAAGCTAAGCATGTACAAATGAGTATGTGAAGCTGGTCTATTAATTATCGAAGAGGACATCAGAGATAGTAAGATTTGAAAATTAAGTTAAATTGTAGTTCAAATATGTCTCTAAGGTTTCTCCGACCACAAGACTACAAGGCCAGATAAACATGGCTGCTCACAAGAAAGGATTCATGGAAGACATTGTAGATAATTGCTTTAGAAGAGTTGGGAGACTTTCTCCGTCAAGAAGAAATYGCTAGTACCCTTATTGAAAGTTTGAAGGTCTTCAACTACTCGTCTCAAATGCTACGCACGATGGCAAAGCTACCCACTTGGTTCAAGACAAAGTGGTCGGAGACGGTAATGAGATTACAAGGCACAAGGGAAAGGCGCTTTCCCTAGCTTTGAGGAATTCATAGACGAAGTTTACCAGCACGYGCAAAGAATGAACATTCCTCAGCTATCACATGCTACAGCAGCACCTAAAGAACCAAGAATGCCAGAGACTGCCAAGTCAATATGCAAATGGTACCAAAGCCAACATCGCAATCAGCTGCAAAAACACTAGCTTCAAACTCTAAGTCAAGACTTGAATCTCAACCAATTCAGCCTCATCCTAAAGAACATAYGCAAGCTTCAAATGACCGACAAAAGTCAACGCATTGCTTCTACGCAAGTCGAGTTTCAGATAACGGGAGGAGGTTCTGAAGTCAAGAAAGGTCTGCTTTAACTGCCTGATGTCTGACCAACACTTGACAAGCAATTGCACGCAAGCAAAGCTCGAGAGTAAGATTGTCGTCAGAAACATACGGTTCTTCATGTCCCTTCGAGGCATGAAAASAACAATCAASCAAAAGCAAATTCCTTCCACTAGGTCATGCGCATGAATAGTTCTGTTGCACATATTTCACAGCGAAAAACATGAATTAAGAATACCTACGTACGTAGTATTGGACGAGCAATCGACGGACATCTTTGTTACCAATTCACTCCTAAACGAGCTTAGCGAACAGTATGAAGAAGTCACGCTCCAGATTAATACAATGTTGGCACCGACACAGTTCGCACACGGAAGGTGAACGGACTGCGTATACAAGATCTTGATGAATTCCATAAAGCCAAGAGCAGATTCCAGCTGATCACAGTAACATCGCCAAACCGGAAATAGCTAAACAATGCCAACGCCTAAACTRTATCGTAAATCAGTTGCACTACTGCCCAGATAAAGAAACAGCCTTCCAGCTACTTCAAGTCATCGACAGTAGGGACTTTAAGTTGCGAGGAAGGGACGGCTCTAGG